AGCCCTGGGACTTAGGTCAATTCGAAATTGATTTACCTCAACTCTGCGATTGATGAAGTCCGTTCAGGTTAAACTGCAGTTCTCGATTGGACATGCACTTTGGAGGAGTCGCTATTGGAATTGACTTCTGTGTGTCGCGCTCAGCTCAAGCCAGGTGGGAAATTGAGTTACAAAGCACAGCATGAGAGGGATAGATGACCTCTGTGACAGTTATAGAGTTTGTGTCTGCCTTTCATAACTCAAGCTGAAGAAAGACTGAAAGGGAGACTAAGGTAAAAATACACATTACTTTTTATACTCTTATAATCTTTGGGCAGGTTGAGTCCTCTTGAGAATAAGAGTGCTAGAGAAAGGGTGCCATTAAAAATGTGACTGGAAAAGCCCTGCTATGGGCATATCACAAAATGATAGGGCAGTCAGAGGTATGTAAAACACACTCCCTTCTACTCATTCAGGAAGGCGAGCTGGAGATGGAGACACGTGACAGGCACAGAGGCAATTCCCTGTCCTGTTTCCCACAGTGTGTTAGACTAAATCTAAATTGCTACTATCATTTTGTCACTCGCCTCTGATGAAGGAGAAGTGATGTTGGTAAAGAAATGAATAAATGGAAAAAACATAAGAAAAACCCCCCTCCACAACCCGGGGCCTGTGGCTCTTCCTGACTCCAGCTTTTATCATGTAAATAAGGCGAACGGGACTGGGTTGGGGGGACAATTCCCAAGCTGCCACTTGGGCCAAATACAACTTTCCTGCAATTTAGGCCCACAAAGAGGAATGTATTTGGAGGCCTCAGTTTTAATTTAACTAGAGTGGCAGCTGAGGGGGCACCAGGGACCTCATCTTATGACTGCAACGATCGCTCGGGTGGAAGGAGGGGAAACCTCAACCTGGCGCAGTACATTTCCATGTGCAAGATCTCTTCCACAGCCCCATCACTGGTTGTGTGTGTGTGTGTGTTTGTGTGTTGCAGCTGACTGTTGCACTCGTTCTGTAACACCTCTTTGGTTTCCCAGGGAGGAAACACGCTTCTTGCTCCGCTGTAACATTTGATTCATTACGATCTGAAACAGCACATCAATTCGCTTATTATGTCTTAAGAAATCCTCCCAGCGTCCCAAAGAGCAAGGGGGAAAAATCCACCAAAGAGGCACTGCCTTGAAATTGACAGCTGTTATTGTGCTGTGCCATCTGGTGCATTTGCCAGGGAACAGAAAAGGGTTAATATTCTATGATGTGTGGTAGCAGTGGCACAGCCTCTTTTGCACAGCCAGAGTGAAATACCGGGTGCCAGGAGTCTGTGCACCCGATGGAGAGAAACCCTCAACATTAGCATGGCACCATATCAACCAATGTGGCTAATTTAATGGGTCAAAAGACGGTTGGGAGGGTGCCAAAATAACAGCCGTAGCAGCAGAATTTCTAACAGGGTGGAGAATCACAAAGGAAAGTTACAGCTCCGCTTGGCATTACACAGCTTTTAATCATGATTCTCTACAGATAAAGCGAAGCAATCCCAGAAATTTTATTTTCCTTTTTTGTTAACCCTACATTTGAGAAATCTGTGTTCAGATTGTGTCTATGCGGTTTTCTCTATATTTGTGTGCAAGTATGTGTTGTGCTGTGTTGGAGCTGTCATTATTCATTGACCACAGATGTAAATGGATCCAAACAATGGGACGCACGTGCTGCGGGTAGTGATCGCCCCTGGAGAGGACAGGGCCTGCTGAAATTAATAGGCCTCCCGTGGTTAAATAAGCAATGGCGAAATAAGCCTAAATGTCCCCCAATCGCATGACAGACAGGGCCCAAGAATCTGAACAGCAGGTAGTTATTTTATGAATTGTTGGAGTGGGACATATTGCAGACCCAACATGCCACATCAAAACCATCACACTACACTGGATTTGAATCATTATGTGTGCGTGGTATGTTTCAGTGGAAAATAACATTTGTCATTTGCTGCAAAATATTTGCCTCTTTGCTTTTATGTTTTATGTAAAGAACTTTGAATTACCTTGTTGTTGAAATGTGCTGAACAAATAAACTTGCCCTGCCTTGCCTTCTTGTGTACCAGTGTTTTTAAATAACTAATTATTTCACAGCATACACGCTTCACTGTGAAAAGCCAAAGCATTACTTTGTGCTACACATTCATTGTTAAACTTTTTTTGTGAAGAGGGAAGAGAGACAAATTATGAAAAATGAAACATTAAAACAATGTTGTTCTACCAGTAAATAACACATATGGGCACTCATATGCCCAAAGCCCTAATGCTGAAAAAGCATTGAAGAATATGGGTACAAATATGCTTCATTGCTGGAAGACACACTTTTTCGAGACATCGGCTCATTTCTAATTCTGAGTGCTGGTTCACAAAATGGTCCAACATTTAAAGTGACTGGCAGGGGGTAAATTAGTGCTCCGAGATGAATTATACAATTAAGGACCCCTGAATGTGCCAAAACACAAAACACACAATATGGTGGAAAGACCTACTTTCATCCAAATTCATCAGTCAGACTAGTGTCTCATCATCTTTAAAAGGAACATGCTTTGATTTTTTAGCTCAATAATTACACCTATGCTTATTTGATGTGTTGCAGTTAAGTTTGAAATGTTAAAATAAACGTTCTGCTTGTGTACAACAATGCAGAGATTTATATTAATACTGAAAAGCCATCTAATTGTACTGTATGTGGTTTTGCTTGCTTGCTAGTTTGGCACAAAGAGACACAATAATTTGCATGTATGTAATGTAACACTGACGCTTCAGTTTCAAGTATCAGCTTTTCATTCATCATAACATTTGTTTCTCATGCTGATGCTCTCTGTCTTTTCTTCTGGCTTCCGTGTGGCAATAAAGGTGGCTGTGCTGGGGATCTGAGCTGTGTGGAGTGATGGCACTGCTGAGGTGGTCAATAATCTATTACGGCACACAGCCCTCCGCAGAGTGACAAATGTCTGTCAGAGAAATGGACCAGCGAGGTCAGAGCTGTTGCTACTGACCTCAGCCACCGCACATAGATCAGGCTGACGTAGACTACAGTGAAATATTCACTTTGATGGAAGGCATTTGTTTTTGTGTCCACCCACTTTTATATAAATACACAGAATTTCAAAGATGAATTTACCATTGCAGTCATGTCTGTAAACCTCCACATCCAGCTCATCATCATGGCACGGTTCAACACATCTTGCTATCTTGTGCCATGTAAAATGAGGCTTTAAAATTCATGAACTCACCTCCTTTTTTTGTGGAGGAGGAGGAAGGGGACTTTAAGTAGGTATGAATCATCTTCCTATTTAGAAACATCATTCCATCACAGGATAAGTCAGGCACTTTTTTACTATAAGGATTAATCTTAGGTGCAATTAAAAACAACCTGAGGCATCATGGATTCTCATTCTCCTCATTTGCTGGTGCACATTTTACATTCTCATGACAGCATAGATTTGGCCTTTACTTCAGAATGAGTTGATGTCTGGGTTGTCATACAGTACACATGTGGACAAGGAGCGCATTTCCATTTACCTTTAATGGACATTAGAACCCTACGTATTACAGTATCTCGCAAAAGTGAGTACACTGCTTACATTTTTGAACAGTGTAAATTTGCTGTCCCATCAAAATTACACATCACACAGCCATTAATGTCTAAACTGCTGGCAACAAAAGTGAAAACACGCCTTAGTGAAAATGTCCAAATTGGGCCCAAAACGTCACTATTTTGTGTGGCCACCATTATTTTGGAGTTTATTATTTTTATCATGGAGTTCACCAGAGCTTCATAGGTTGCCACTGGAGTCCTCTCCCACTCTTCCATGACAACATCATGGAGCTGGTGGATGTTAGAGACCTTGGGCTCCTCCTCCTTCCGTTTGAGGATTCCCCCCAGATGCTCAACAGGGTTTAGGTCTGGAGACATGCTTGGCCAGTCATTTACCCTCAGCTTCTTTAGCAAGGCAGTGGTCATATTGGAGATGTGTTTGGGGTTGTTATCATGTTGGAATACTGCCCTGCGGCCCAGTCTCCGAAGGGAGGGGATCATGCTCTGCTTCAGTATGTCACAGTACATGTTGGCATTCATGGTTCCCAAATGAAGCCTCAGACCATGACACTCCCACCAACATGCTTGACTGTAGGTGAGAAACACATGACTTTGTACTCCTCACCTGGTTGCTGCCGCACACGCTTGACACCATCTGAACCAAATAAGTTTATCTTGGTCTCATCAGACCACAGGACATGGTTCCAGTAATCCATGTTCTTAGTCTGCTTGTCTTCAGCAAACTGTTTGCGCGCTTTCTTGTAGAAGAGTCTTCCTTCTGGGACAACAGCCATGCAGACCAATTTGAGGCAGTGTGTGGCGTATGGTCTGAGCACTGACAGGCGGACCTTCCCACCCCTGCAACCTCTGCAGCAATGCTGGCAGCATTCATATGTATATTTCCCAAAGACAACCTCTGGATATGACGCCGAGCACGTGCACTCTACTTCTTTGGTCGACTGTGGCGAGGCCTGTTGTTGGAACCTGTTGAACGAGTCACATGACACCGGGGAGGGAAAATGGCTTATTGGGCTCAATTTGGACATTTTCACTAAGGCGTGTTCTCACTTTTGTTGCCAGCGGTTTAGACATTAATGGCTGTGTGGTGTGTTATTTTGAGGGGACAGCAAATTTACAATTTTATACAGTGTTGTCACATGAAAAGATATAAACAATTCATTTTTGAGATACTGTATACTTATACATGGAGTTATGCATGTTTAGTGGTGTGTGTTTCTATGCAGGCTTACAGGTGTTTAGCCTTGCTCTTGAACGTACCTCTAGAGCATCAAATTATCTCCACCCAGATCAAACCCCCTCATTAGCTGAGCTTATTTAAGGCAGCTCAAGGATGCCTTTTTCCCTGACTGTTGGTTGCCATATGAATCCTCTGTGATGTTCAGGTAGGTGAGCGAGTAAAAAAACCTGTTATGTTTTTTCATTGTGTTTTCTGAATGACTGAGGTTGTATGTTTTGCAGCAGTCTGCTGCCCGCCTGTTTTATCTAGTTTGGCTGATTCCAAGGTTCCCTGTCTGGAGTGGCATGATGTGGTGTTCCTTACAGAGCACCCTGTGTTAAGATATGAGAAGCTTAAGGAGCAACAAGTAGGGTATGATGACTGCCTGAGGTAACTGTTATTTACTCTTATAAATCTGTTGCTAATATGTATGTTTTTAATTGTAGGTTGTCAGCTGCTGTTTTGCCTTTGTTAAACTAGGATTTTAACAATTGTTGCTGGTACACTGTAGCTGTAGTGCCTCCAGGTGGCACTCCCTAGTTGACTATACTGGTATTTTGGATATACCCAACTGGTCTATTGTGTTTATTTAACTTGTTGTGTTGCTCTTTTCAGTGATTCTAGTGGTTGGCTTGTGGTGGAGGCTAGGCACGCTGGTGTGGGTTCCTTCACCGACTAGTGTTAACGGCACTGGGACACGATTTGGTGGTAACTCGATTTGCAGTGAACCAGTTTGCAGTGACTATTGATTGCAGTGGGCACATGCGATGGGTAAGTTGGTGCACCCCTGGAGTACACCCTTAGTTTGCCTCTCCAGAACTGGACCTGGCCACCCCTGCCTTTTTTTTCTTTTGGTTCAATAATAGTTATAACTGGGAGTGTGTTAAAATTGTTATACTTTTATATTCCATTGTAACTTGATTAGTTGTATTATTGACCATCCTCTCTTCAGGCACTTCCAGTTACCAATTATCAATAAATGAATTATTCTTTTGGAGCCACGTCTGTCTTATTTCAATAAACCCGTCTAGCCTTTGTATAAAGGGTTAGTCAAAGCAGAAATAGATGCTGAAATGAGTCTGCTAACATTGTATCGTAGCTTTTGTTTAAATACTAGTGATCAGATGGAGAAGCTAAACCTACCAAAGTGAAAAACCAAACTGTATGCATCCTGTAGCTGAGATGTCCAGGAATCAGTCACACCTACCTGCATGCAGACAAGATGATCACATACAGAGACATTCATGAAGTTTTGTTACATGTAAAACTTACATCCTGATTAAGATCAAATCTGGGATAAACCAGAATACTAAAGTGCATGTAAATGTTGAGTGACATTGAAGGTTCCATGACTACAAAATGGATCAAATCAGTTCTTTTCACTGATACTTGATGTGCATGAGTCCTAAAAGAAATATTTGCAAGAAACTATTTTTGCCAAGTAATAGAGCTGGGATCTGCATACAAATGTGTCTAAACAGGATTGTTTTTAGGCCTAAGTTCAGGTTCTATAACCTCCGGCACATTCCTACACAAGGTTGTATATTAAAGTGTGTATTTATCCGTATGTTAAACATAATATTCACATCATATTGCTTTGCATTTGAATAAAGGCCCCGCATATGTGACTTAGCAAAGTGGGATCCTGGGAATTCATTTGGTGCTGAGTATTTAAACTCTCTTACAGCCTTTTAGAGTCACCCTGAGAAGAGTCCGTGGTCTTTGTGTGTTGGCAGGCCCTGCTCCCATGTTGTAATGATAAGAATAGATGTAGACCATTTAAGTATCAAATCAATAGCAAATTAAATTTTTCAGCAGTGCAAGCTACACTCAGAATCACCTGTAATTAGCTTTGACAGACTCTGGTTACGCTGTTCTCATGTCAGTTTGCTCCCAATACACACACTGCTTAGACCTACTCACAGCAGTTTCTGATTATAATTTAAATCTAATTAAAATAATGCAATTTCTTTTGTCTTTTTTTGGGGGGGGGGGGTGCAGGTCATCAGCATATTTCTGTGCTCACGTTCTTTATGGGTGCAAGTGGCACATGGATTGAACCTGAAGTAGGTTAAGCAGAAACTCATGCGTCTAGCCTGGTGGTGTGGTTTGGAAAATGGGCTGGGACCTGATTTAGATAAAAACACGATGACCCACAGGCGCTCTTATAATGAATAGTGTGTCCTCCGAGCCTTTCGTTTTCCTCCAGCTTACTACATTTGTCATCTTCATATGAATAAACAGGCCTGTTTAATCTGTCCTTTCATGGGATTTTGTGGCATTTATACACTAACAGCAGGCTCTGTGTAGCCTACAAACATGCTTGTTTTGTCCGGTTTCCACTGGTCATCAACAGAATCTCCATTGCAAATCAACTGCAGAGAGATGCAGTACCGATCAATCATTCTCTGAATTTGTGGGAACTTTGACAGTGTTTGGAATTCCGATCAGACCTCAGATTTGTGATCAGTGCGGTAGGATGTTTTTGTAACATAAACCTCAGTAACTGCTATAGCTTAAGCATAGAAAGGCCTTAAAAGTTCACCTAAGGCTGCTAAGAGAGGCAGGATGATGGTAGACGTGTTGATGCTGATCTGTCAGTCTCCCTGTGCTCACTTCTGCAACACATCTACTGAGTGGAAATTAACTGCACCTGAATGACACGCCATGCTGGGACTCTACTGTCTTTTTAATAGACTTACACCTCATTTGGCCTGTGAAGCCTCCTATGGGATGGCCTGAGGCAAAGACACACTCACGCACACAAATGCATGCACGTACAGAAAGCCAGAAGGAGATGTGTACGCCAGAGGGATAAGCTTAGAAAAATGTGGAGAGAGGGGGCAAAAAAAAGGAAAAATGTTAAAAGGAGAGCCTGGAAGAAAGAGACTGCTTGCAGGAGGAAGATGAGGGGGAGATTTGGGATGAGAGAGAAGAGTCACCAATGGTAGAGACAAATGTGGAGACAGGAACAGACAAAGAGACAATGGTAAATAAAGGAGAAAACACAGAATGAGCTTGTGCTGTCTGTGTTGGGCAGTGGCGACAATGCTGATTAGGCCATCGCTGCGCAGTCAGGGAGGGAGCGAGGGCTGAACAATGCATTCCGCTTCCCCTTCACAACAACAGACCTTCCCGCCTGACCCCCTAACCTCTGTCACCAGCAATACGTGTCACAGCCACGACGACACCCTGTCAGACCCACCGCTCCCTCCCTCTCTCCATCACCCACCGCCCTCCCACCCAACCTCAAGTCCGTCAGTCCAAACTTGTCAGCTGATGAACCCCAAATAATTCCCTTTTGGAACGGCAGGTGCGATAAAGGGATATGGAACTGGTCTTACATATTTTTGATTTCTAGAGGTACAATGTTGCTCAAAGGCTGTTCGGTGATGGTACAGATGTAGAGGGGATACGCTATGATTTAGCCCTCCATACTAAAGTACAGAGGAGTTTCAAGATTCTTTTTTGTCATCTTGCTATTGTTTTTCTTTCATATTGGGGTATTTTAAGGTTTGGAATTTGAATGGACAATGAACTAAAACTGGTGCAGGAAACAAACGTTTCTGACTTTATTTCCCTGGAACACACATGCACATAAATATAATAGTAATATATTTAATAATACAGTGAATAACTTTTAATAACATTATTAGAGCTAAAACAGTTAGTCGTTTCATTTATTAGTTGATTGATAGAAAATCAAATAGCAGCTGTTTTGTTAATCAGTTAACCACGTAAATCATTTTTAGCAAATATTCTCCGGTACCAATTTCTCAAATATGAACATTGGCTGCTTTTATCTGAGCTGTGAATTTAATATATTTTGCTTTTGGAATGTTGGTTTGAAATAAGTAATCTAAAAACATCACTTTGGGTTTTGTGAAATTGTGGTTCACTCATTTCTCACATTTTAAAGACTTAACAATTACTCAAGAAAACAATCATCAGATGAATCAATATTAAAAATAATTGTTAGTTGCAGGCCTGAACATTGTGACCCAAATGAGTTTGCGGTCTCTGTCCAATAGTATCTCTAACTTACTTGGTACTACAATCACCAAATCCCTGAATAAAAATCCCTTGCTAAACAATCTAAACATAACGTTAAATAATGTAGGAAAACAAAATTTTGTCACTGACCTACAAGTTGTCACTGAACATTTTGCAAATATATTCTGTATGAACATTTTATGACTGGGCAAATACACAATCATTAAAAACATTTACTCATAATGTTGACTAACAGTTTTTATATTGACTAAAACTGTAATTCTCCCGCCATCATATATCACTCATATCATTTGCTGCAAATTAGTAATGTACCCTAAATGTAATTTCTATGAAGATTTCAACTGCCCCCGCAACCCTGCATGCAGGATAAGCGGTTGACGAAGAAGAAGAAGAATGGATGGATTCCAACTACAAGAAACCTCCATAGATAACATACTAATGCTTACTAATTTGCACCTGTTTGTTTTGTATTCATTCTGTGTAGTTCGATATAACTCTAGCAGATGGTTACAGCAGAGTTAAAAATCTGCTGCAGAATGGCATCCCTCTATCAGATGTTAACAGTTAACAATTAAAGCAATTCTCCAGTTAAACCAGATCTAATTAGCTTTTGCCAGTTTCCCCCCTCTCTTGAACCCCTAAACATTCCATCTGCTGTATTGGAGCTCCTGATACTGAACTCCACTTCTAGGAAGATGAGCCTATCTCTCTCTCTCTCTCTCTATATATATATATGTTTTTTTTCTGGCTGGTTTGAAGTAATCTTTTGTCTGGTGGGACAGGGGGAGGGGGGGTTTATTGTTTACATATTAAGTGACATTCTGTAAGGGTTTCAGCAGCATCTTGACTCCCCTAAGCTGAGGAGCAGCTGAGGTTAAGTGGTCTCCTCGCTCATGGCACCCATCTTCTTCTTCTCCATGACAGCTGGGGACCACACCGTTGCCATAGATACACTCACCACTAGCCCCCCCGCCCCAACTCGACTGCTCAGCCACTATAGTAAGTAAACATATACATACACCTACATATGTGTATATGAATTGTATACGGTATCAGTTAATGTTTTTCCCTGGCCCTTTATATTCTCCTCTCCAAGTAACTGAACTAAAAAGTGAACACTGAACAACATGAATAATAAATCTGAAAGCAGAAAACTCTTTTCTTTTCATGCACTCTAAGGTTTAATTGTTATCTATTAGAACTGATTATGGAAAATGGAAAGTCAGTTTTTGGAACAGTAAAAATAAATTTCAGTCACTGTAGATGACTGCATTTCTGTTTGTTTTGCTCAAATTGCAGAACTTTTCACTGGAGGTGGAAGAATTCCAAGAGATAAACCAGTGATCAGGAAAATAATTTCAAATACTATTTTCCAATAACACACTCCACAGGACAACTTCTTGTGTGCCAGGCTACAAAAGACACAGGTCTTTTTCACTGATTGAATGGACTGGAATTTGCTTTGTATGCAGGAAACTGCAGTTTTAAAATGTATGAATACTACAGGATCATTTATTTCCAAAGCCAGCATAATTCACATTTGTCTTAAACTGTATCAATTATATGTAATTATTTTAAAGTATAAAAGATGGTGAACTAAAAATCATATAGTGAGAGATAAAATGACCCAGGACCAAACAGGATATTTATGTCTTTAGAATGGAAACCATCTACTAATCTTTTAATTACAGGCCGAGATTGTTAAAAAATAATACACATATAGTAACACAGGCTCACCAGCATCGTAGCTTGCTTCAAGTCATTTACCAGACATTACTGGTAAAGCACTTCTTGCAGTGGTTTATATTGGCTGTAAAAACTGTGCTTGCAAACAGATATAATATATAAGAATAAATATGTGTACCAAGGTAATATCTTATGGTCATAATAGTTTGTTTCTTTCATTCAGAAACTAATGAGGAGCAAAGGCCTAAAAGGCCACTCAGCATCACTGGACATTATGGGTATAATTCACATTTTCTT